TACTAGGAAGGTTTCCATTTACTAGACCTCTATTCGGAGATGGCAAAACTTGCATTAATATTCCATACGATAATTATTATCACCAAGAAATAGGAATGTCTTCATTCACTAGACCCTTATTTACTCTCGTTAGAAGCATGTTACTTTAACCTTCATTGTTTAAAGAGGGTTTCAGTGGAATGCAAATATTACCCAGATCTCTTGTCGACGAAGCCGAAAGCGAGATCTGGTCAATAAATCAAATTCAATTCTCTTCTTATTAGCCACTCAAACTACCTAAAAAGTACTTTTGTATCGCGGGAATGACATGAGTGTTGTCATCAGCGCGCGCTATGGTGTCTGCAATTCATTCCTCACCAAATCTTTAATTTTTCTGGCCTTTTCCCCTTTAGACTGCAGAACAGTCGGTTTTTTTCTCAAAATCAGTAAAGAAATCGGTAAAGCGTGACGTAAGAGTCTTACGCGCGCGAAGCGCGCAAGCCTCACACGCCCGTATGGCGTGTGAGGCGAGAGAAAAAAAACCGACTGTCCGTTTTCCATTAACCTCCCATGCAGGCGTTTTTAGGGGAGCTCGTATTTCTTCCCTCGAAATACGAGCTCCCCTAAAAACGCCTGCGTTGGAGGCTAGTTTTCCACACAATGAATTCGTTCCGACCAGGGGGTTCAAAAACGTCGTCGAGCTGTCAAAAATCTGTTCGCAACTCCGCCCCCTTTGTGAATTTGATACACTCATTAACTGATTTCGAGGGAGAATAGCGCGTGTTATTGTCTGCTCTTGACGCTGTAATCCAGTAATTCTAAAGCCGTTTTGGATCAGTTTAGTTATCTGGGCAACCGAGCTCGAAAAATGGTTATCGAGCTCGATGACTTATCGAGCTCGATAACTTATCGAGCTCGGTGACCTATCGAGCTCGGTGACTTATCCAGCTCGGTTTTTCAAGAGAAGAAAAAAAAGAGAAAAATGGAAATTAGTATAGGTAATAGCATGATTTGTAGTGATATTTGGCTTATTTACCACGAGTGATATTTCAAAATTGTTATACGTAATTTCACGAGCCGCTAGGCGAGTGAAATTTGAGACAATTTTGAAATATCACGAGTAGTATTTATGTCAAATATCATGTACAAATCCTCTGCTAGCAGGGAACCGTAAAGACTGCCATTCAGCTGGAAAAAGACCACAAATCCGTTTTTTAACGTTTGTTTATCCTTTACAAAACATGTTAATTATAAAGTAAGTTCACAAGCGAAACGTTATGCACTTTTGTTATCTCTGAACAATCCGACTGAAGCAGGAAAATTACTCTTGCAATAACAAGACAAATTACACCGCAAGAAGATCGACATAAATTTGTTACTCACAAAAACAACTGCTGCCAGGTCTTCTCAAGAAGTTGTAGTGAACAGACATTGTTCGTAAATGAATATAAAGTAGGAAGACATTATTTTCGGGTTTTTCATGGTCAGATTAGAAAACCGGAGTTGTAACGGCAAACCGCCTTTTTGGAAAAGGCAATATTTTTCTGGATATGAACACTTTCTGTTTTACTGAGGGATACCACAATATGCCGCTCTGAAGAGCTGCCTCCAAGCTTATAATAGACGCATCCGACCTGTACAGGAAAAACTTCCAGTCTTAACAAAACTGTTGACAAGGGATTGAAAACCAAACACAGGCGTACGCATGCATGTGGAGTTAAAAAGTAAATAAATAAATTAATTAATTAATTAATTAATTAATTAAAAATAGTAACAATTTTATAGTCATTCTGAATAAGTTTCTTCCCGATCTGCAACATTAACCCGTGATAGCCCCCCTAGATTCATGCAAGGTGGAGTTTGTTTGTTCGCCAAAAATCAAGTAAAATTAAGAATTCAGTTGTTTCATGCTTAGCGTGCGTATTTCGAGTTATGGATGCAACGAAAGATGCGTAAGAGTTGCTCGAATTGCAATCGTCTAGTTTGATAGAAAATTCTTTCTCTAAAACTGAGAAAGAAAATTTGCTTATTTATTAGTTAACGATCAATGGAAACTAAGCAGAAACGAACTAGATAAAAGAGTCTTAAAGTGCACCCACAAAAAGTTAAAAAACTCGTTAAACGAAAGGAAATGCAAAGAGCTCAGGATTAGGTTTCAAGGAACGAACCAGAATTTGACCCTATCTGTGTTAACCGTCAGACCCTAGATACTGTCAAGAGTGTGAAATTGTTGGGACTTAATATTATAAAAGCAGTGATTGAAAGTGGAATGTCCATGTGTCAGGACTAGTTTGAAAGGTCTCAACAAGATCATATTTTCTAAGACAGTTTAAGAAATCACATGTTGCTAGAAGAGAGCTACCTCTATTTTACATCACATGCATTCTCTCCATTCTGGTTATCTTAGCGAAGACCTAGAAAGACTGCAAAAAGGAGCTATGAAAATTATTTACCCCGAGCTATCATATGCTAAGGCTCTCGAGCTGTCCGGACTTTTAACACTGGCGTGTTTGCATGGGCTAATTTAAACGGCATGGCCCTCAACACGCCTAAAGCTAAGTCTATCTTGATCACGACTCAACAGAAATTTCATCGCGTGAATGATCATTCTCTTGATGTGATGATTAATGGGAAGTTAATTGAACAGGTTCAGCATGCTAAACTACTTGGTGTTACTCTTGATTGCCTACTTACATGGGAGAAAGACATTGAAAATATATGTTCAATTGTAAACAGTAGACTGTCTCTCTTAAGAAGGATCAAACCGTTTATCAATCATCACTGTGCTCTACGTTTCTTCAACTCTTGTATTCATAACCTCTTTATTTATTGTTCGAGTGCATGGGGTAATTGTTCCAATTATTTATTGTCTCGTCTTCTTCTCCTTCAAAAACGTGCAGCTCGATTGCTCCTTGATGCCGACTTCTCTCAACTATCTGTAAGCTTATTTTCCAAACTCAAATGGCTGCCTATTTTCAACCTCATAAAACTAAGAAAACTTGTATTTTTATTCCCTATTCTTAATAATCCTGATTCTCCTCTTTGTCTTAAACGTAAATTCAACTGGTCTGCGCACCAGAGCTTAAGTTCCATACCCTAGGTCTAATTTCGGAAAGCGCACATTTGTTTACTCTGCTGCCACTCTTTTTACTTGCCTTGACACTGATCTTAAGCAAATAGCGTGTGTATCTCCTTCTTCTATTATTTTTTCATCTATATTAAATAATTTTAAGCATAAACTCTTTATCTTATTCCTTACGTTTGCTAGTAACGTTTGTCATCTTGAAGAATTAATGTGTTATGATTGTCGCTTTTCTCTTTATTGTAACTGTATTAGAAGGTAATTAGTTTATATCATCTTACATCTATGTTAAACCATACATTTGTCTAGTTCTAATTTTTCTCTTGTTGTAGTCGTATATTACTGATTAGGCATTGTTTTTATATGTGTATTTTGTATAATTGTGAAGGCCGTAAGTTAGATAACTCATTGGGTTATTACGTTACCTTCGTTAAATAAAGAATATTGTATTGTATTGATCGAAGAGGAGCAATTGCGGCAAAGTTGTTCTATGAAATATGTGCTAAACAATCTCACAGTCTCCACAAACTACTTCCGAATAAATGCCAGCCAAGCTACTCTCTGAGAGAACAAAGAATGTTTATTCGTCCAAAGGGTAAAACTGAAAGGTGCAAGAATCGGTTTTCTTTTAAGTTATGTTTACAGTAGTTGAGAACTAGATATAATTTTCTTTCTTAATGTATATAGCAACTTGACGCATGCTTTTGAATTTGTGATTTTATAACGGTTATAAAATCCTAAATTATGTTGGATCATCTTTCTTCAAATAGTTGTAAAGCGCGTTAATTAGTTGTAATTTAGTACAGTTGTAAATTATTGCATTTGTAAACCTTATCGCAATTCAGACGGTGCCCACTATTGTTACTGCGCACATTTTCTGCGCATGCCAAGGAAGTCGCGCGACGCGAAAGAAATGCGCAACACGCAGACACGTGGACTGGTTTTGTCTCCTGTAAGTCCAGGAGGTTCTAGTTATTTCTTGTGGAAAAGATGCGTCGTTTTTCAACAGATGAAAAGTAATTTATATTTACCTTGTCAGTTCTTTGAAAACCGAAGACGTATGCGCATGTTGTTATTTCTACGTATGATCGATCTGACCGAACATTTTATAGTCAAACAAAAGTCAATTCTAAAACATCAAAAGTTATTGCTTCAAGATAATGCGCTTAGAACTTGGGTATTAAAAAATCCCTTAATAGGCAAGGATCAGTAAATCAGAAGGAAAATAGCTCTAAGTCCTCCGCTTAATCGAGAAACTGCAAGCTTACCTTTCACTCGCGTCCTTCGCGTTTTATCGGCTAATCGGCTATAAACACTTTCCCGAATATTTCTTTAATTTTGTAAGATTTTATGTAATTATTCACCAGAAGATAGATTTAAAGTGTTCGAGTACATACAGATGTCCCTTTTTTTGAGAATCCGAGGCTTTTATTTGTTGAAAAAACAAGGGAAAAACTTTCACAAGATTGTTTGGATTGCTGAGATCGCAGCTTCAAAAATAGTTGCGGACCGCAAAGGAAACGCTTTCACCTTGGGAAAAAATGATAAAAAAATTATGCTTTTTGCTACTATCATTGTTATTTAAGCATTTTGGCATTACTAAGCCTTGAAATTATTGACTCATTGGCAGCTTGTCGTGTAGATAGTATTTCTTAAGGTTCAATTTCACGCCACACATAATCTGAACATTTAGACATAGCTGCCATTTGGCTGTTTACAAACTAAAGATGGAAGGTAAAATAAAGTATTTCCATTCTAAGTTTTTCTTAGGTTTAACAGACGCTGTTAAGTCTAAAATTAACATTTAGAAACGAAAAATAGTGAATGATCATGACAGAGAATGCTACAGTAAAAGAAATCAAAACGAAATATATAAAATGATCATTATAGCCCAGTGTATATATGTGGGTACATAAACCCATTCGGTACAACTACTTTC